CACACACACACACACACACACACACAGGTAAAGTAGAGATACTGAGAAGAATGGAGGCTTACTTTATGACACGTAATGAAGACAACAAAAATCAAACACGACTAATACGACAAAACAAACACGATTAACAGAAAAACACGACTAATACGACAAAACACGACTAATACGACAAAATACACGAAAAAGCGACAAACACGACTAACGACGACAAAAACACGACTAATACGACAAAAACAAACACGACTAATACGACAAAAACACGACTAATACGACAAAAACACGACTAATACGACCAAAAACAAACACGACTAACACGACAAAAACACGACCTAATACGACAAAAACACGACTAATACGACAAAAACACGGCTAATGCGACAAAACAAAGACACGACTAACACGACAAAAACACGATAATACGACAAAAACAAACACGACTAACAACAAAACACGACTAAACGACAAAACAAACACGACTAATACCGACAAAATGCGACAAAAACAAACACGACTAAACGACAAAAAACCACGACAATACGACAAAAACACGACTAACACGACAAAAAACACGACTAAAAAAAGAAACAAACACGACTAACACGACACGGCAAAAACACGACTAATACGACAAAAACACGACTAATACGACAAAAACACGACTAATACGACAAAAACAAACACGACTAACACGACAAAAGCGACTAATACGACAAAAACACGACTAATACGACAAAAACACGACTAATACGACAAAAAACAGCGACTAACACGACAAAAACACGACTAATACGACAAAAACAAACACGACTAATACGACAAAAACACGACTAATACGACAAAAACAAACACGACTAAACGACAAAAAACACGACTAATACGACAAAACACGACTAATACGACAAAAAACACCTAAACACTAAAACACTAATGCGACTAAAACAAACGACTAATACGACAAAACACGACTAATACGACAAAAACACGACTAATACGACAAAAAACACGACTAATACGACAAAAAACACGACAAAACGACAAGCGACTAATACGACAAAAACAACTACGACAAAACACGACTAATACGACAAAACACGACTAATACGACAAAAACACGACTAATACATTAAAAACACGACTAATACGACAAAAACAAACACGACTAACACGACAAAAACACGACTAATACGACAAAAACAAACACGACTAACACGACAAAAACACGGCTAATACGACAAAACAAACACGACTAATACGACAAAACACGACTAATACGACTAAAAACAAACACGATAACACGACAAAAACACGACTAATACACAAAAACACGACTAATACGACAAAAACACGATAATACGACAAAACACATTAATACGACAAAAACACGACTAATACGACTAAAACACGACTAATACGACAAAAACAAACACGACTAACACGACAAAAACACGACTAATACGACAAAAAACACGACTAATACGACAAAAACACGACTAATACGACAAAACAAACACGACTAACACGAAAAACACGACTAATACGACAAAAACAAACACGACTAATACGACAAAAACACGACTAAAAACACGACTAATACGACAAAAACACGACTAATACGACCAAAACACGACTAACACGACAAAAACACGACTAATACGACAAAAACACGACTAATACGACAAAAACACGACTAATACGACCAAAACACGACTAACACGACAAAAACACGACTAATACGACTAAAACACGACTAATACGACAAAAACAAACACGACTAATACGACAAAAACACGACTAATACGATAAAAACACGACTAATACAACAAAAACACGACTAATACGACAAAAACACGACTAATACAACAAAAACACGACTACAATAACAGGAACAACAACCATCATTATCATCCCGGGTGCATAGTATAGACAGCGTCCATACCACGACCTTCCCCACCTGTGTTGCTGCTCCCCGTCAAGCCAGGTGAGGGGGAGTGTGCTGGGCTGGTTGGTGGTACCTCGCTAGTACACGATTATCACCTCCACCCTCACCTCCTACCCTCACCTAACCCTCACCTCACACACACACACTCCACCCTCACCTCCTACCCACTCCCTCCCCCCCCAACCCCTCCTATCTACTCCCCCCTCCACCCTCACCTCCTACCCACTTCCTCCCCCCCACCCAACCCCTCCTATCTACTCCCCCTCCACTCCCCCCTCACCCCCTTCCAGTATCTGTTTAAGGTGTGCATGATACATCTGTTGCCCGGGGTATAACATGGCTGTGTGTGTGTGTGTGTGTGTGTGTGTGTGTGTGCGTGCCTCAAGCTCCTATACTGATCACCACAAGACCAAGGTTGGAGCATTGACTTGTACCTCCTCCTCTTCCATCTCTTCTTCTTTTTCCTCCTCTTCCTCTTTATTTCCTTCTTCTTTCCGCTTCTTCCTCTTCCTCCTCTTCTTCTCCTTTTCTTTCTCTTCTTCCCCCTCCTCCTTCTCTTCCTCTTCCTCCCCTTCCTCCTCTTCCTCGTCTTCCCCTTCCTCCTCCTCTTCCACACATAGTTAAACACTACACTGGGCCACACGCTTCTCTACATAATTAATCACCTGAAAAAGAAGGTTCTGATGTGATACTTTTGTGTTAATCTGTTGACTGTGTGAAATATTGAGGTGTGAGTGTGTGTGTTGGACGGTGAGGACAAGGGTGGGAACATACTAGGACAAGGGTGGGAACATACGAGGACAAGGGTGGGAACATACGAGGACAAGGGTGGGAACATACGAGGACAAGGGTGGGAACATACGAGGACAAGGGTGAGAACACAGACACACACACACACACACACCGCCGCTCGTAACCTGTATATTTTAATACAATTGACAAGTTGAAATATATTATCTGTTTATATAGTAATTTAATCATTATAGTTGGTGGTGGATTATGGCCCAAAAACCTTCTTGGTGTGGCTCTTAAGGTGTGGTCAGGTACAGGACGTCATCACAGGTGTGGCTTCAGTACCAACCACACTACTATCGGATGGTATAAAGTTTTTAGTTGAGGTTGAATTCTTTCGTGGTTTGTGTGTGTGTGTGTGTGTGTGTGTGTGTGGAGAGCTGGGTGACTGTGTGTATGTGGAGGGGTGTGTGTGTGTGTGTGTGTGTGTCTGTCTGTAGTGTGTGTGTGTGTGTGTGTGTTTAATTATCATCATACAACCACAAAAAATAAACCTTCCGTTATAACAAAACAATTAACGGCGTGAGCTGGGAGTGGATGAATGAGCAACCGTAATATCACAACCCCCCCACCCACACCCCACCCCCCACACCCACCCCACCGACGTATTAGATCCTCGTCCACCTGGTAATGTACGCGGGCCTTGTTAATGGTGTTATGTGTTAATATTAATAAAAATAGTGCTAGGTGTTGTGGGGAGGGAGAGGAAGAGGGGGGGAGGCGTGGACCGGACATACGGCTGCGTGTTGAAGGCCTTACCAGACCCCCTCATTACCCCAACACCAGACCCCACGCCATGCCTCGCCAGCCACGCCCTCCTCCTACACCCCCAAGCCCCTCCCTAGTGTACTCATTACTCCTTCCGTATGACCCTCCACTACCCTCCACTACCCTCCACATGACCCACACTACCCTCCACATGACCCACACTACCCTCCACATGACCCACACTACCCTCCACTACCCTCCACATGACCCA